CCCCAAAACCCCAAAACCCCAAAACCCCAAAACCCCAAAACCTAAAATTTTTTATGATATTGGAAAGAGTTGTTGATAATATAAATGCAAACTAAAATGAAAATCAATAATTTATTTACTTTATAAATTCCAAAAACTATACCAATTAACTTATTGCAAAATCATGGATATTCTACTCAAGGATTGTGATCTCTATCATAAGTATCACCAAACTTTCGAATCATAAGGAATAACTATTGAGAGATTTGAGAAACTTTCAAAATTAAATCAAACTACTTTTGCAAGTGCAATTATGGAAAGATGCTAGATGACTTGTGGCGATTTCATTGATCTCATTTGCTCCTGGGAGAGCTACGTTTAGAGCAAAGAAAAGCGCCAAAATTCAGATTTGAATTAAAAAAAAGCGCGCTCTATTACTGATAGTGACGAATTTAAAACTCCTAAATCAAACTCTTATCGAGATTGTGTTTCAGATTTTACAAAATCAGATTAGAAGATTGAATCAAAGATAGAATAGGCAGACAAATCGACATAAACTGGCAATGAATTGCTTGAAGTACCATTGGCTTTATCTCCACAAGGAAAAGTATCTCCAAGTAAAATGCTGGGTAAGAAAAGAACTGTTAGTGATAGAGAAGCTATGGAGCCAGAGAAGCCTCCTTGTTCTATTCCTACTATAGTTTGTCAAAATAAGAGAAGAGCTCAACAGCTCCTAGTACCTTCATAATCGCCAAACAAAGCTATTGGAAGTAAGGTTCAAACATACAACATCCTAGAAATGCCTTCAAAGCCTTAAACACCAACTTTCAAGGAGAGTTTTAACTAAGTAAATGTATTATTGGTTAAAGATAATGCCCCAAAAGTTCAGTAAGCAGAAAGATAGTAGCAATAGCAAAGGAGCATTAAAAATTCAAGCAAGTGATTTATTAGTTTTTAATTTAAATATTTTAATAATAACAACTAATTTGTAAACATTTTCTTTGCTCACTTTAACAAACTAGCTATTCTTCAAAATTCAACTAAGGGGTTTTGGGGTTTTGGGGTTTTGGGGTTTTGGGGTTTTGGGG